GCTTGTTAGTGGAGCATAGTTGCATCTTTTTTCAGAAGCCATATTTCTTTGCTCCTGGTTTTGAATTGCCAGTGTTTAAACACACAATATGCCAGTGTTTAAAACCACCATCAGATAATGATGCTGTTGGTAATTTGCTTTGATGAGCAATTTTCACTGGTGAGTTAGTAGGCCCCTGAATGTTTTTTGAAATAAATGTTTAATACATCTCATAGCTGTTCTTGGTTTAAAATATAAAATGTAATCGAAGTAGGTTTGGCTCTAAAACTTAAACACTGAAATCTATCACTAGTAAATAAACCAATTCAGCAAAGAGAATGGAAGCACAGTGAAGGTGGTGGTGGCTTTAGATAGTGAATTAAGTAGAAAATAGAAAGTTGTTTGAAATTCTTCTTTAAGTGACAAACCAAGAGCTACTGCTACCTTTATTCATCCTTTAATAGTGGCCTGTGACTTTAGACATAGCTTTATCTCAAGCCTTAAATTCTGTAACTGGTCATTGATCACCTGAAGCTGCTCTTGAGATGAATCCATATTGCCTGTAGGAATGAGTGCTTTGTTTTACTCTGTATTTAAATAATTATACATAATTTATAATTTTGGAGTTAAGGAAACTTTCTAAGATAAGTTTCTGTTAATTTCCCCTAATTAGTATAAAATTAAGATTATTAACTTTCTCTAACCTGTTTTTCTGATTCATTTTTAAAATGCTAGTTACGCATCTGTGGACATCCTTGGAATTATGCTATTAACATCACTCATGGAAAAGATTAATTCATCTCCATGGTGCCTGATGTTGTAAATCTCAGGCAAGCTTTTTATGAGCTTTAAAGTTGCATTAGTTGAGAATTTAAAAATAAGTTCACCACCTTTTGATGAAATTCTGTATACATTTATAAATAGTTCTCCATATTCAGTATTTTATCCACAATTCTATTGTAGGTTCAGTTTCTAAATTAAATTACCTTCTCAGGAAATGCATTTATTTTTTTCTTTGCTTTACTAATTCTGTTACTAGTACACCCCTCCATGTAACCTGCAAAATTCTAAGAACTATAGAGTGGTGGGAGGTTTTTGAGGGGGGAAAGGGAATGTTTGTTTTTTGTTTGTTTTGTGCATTCTCCATTAGTTGTATGTATTAAGTTCTTGTTCAGTTTTTAATAACACTTGTCAGCTCTGTGGAAATTCATCTTGCTCATGTAATACAGGAGGTAGGAAATAGCTGAAAATACCATCTTCACTGGTCTAATAATAATATACAGTGTATACTATGTTTGTAAGATATTGTGTACATTTATGGAATTATATAAATATTGGTGGTGTAAGAGGGTGGTGAGGCCTAGGAATGTGTATATGTAATAGACTAATACAGCAATCATAAACTTATGTTTGTGCTTGCATGCCAGATGACTCATGTTTCCCATGGTGGCCCCACATACCATCGTTCATTTTATTACCATGAGAGTGTTTTTTAAACAGTTTTTTGCTGTGAAAAATCAACAGCAGAAATTTAGCTAAGGAGATTGGAACTTTTACAAAACTTGGCTTCTGGGTGCACTTATATTCTTTCTGAGTGTGTGTATGGAGAGGGGTGTCCAATCAATAGTTGCATCAGTGCAGAAAACAAAAATGAACAAGTTAGGATTACTATACAACTGTCCTTTTTTTTTTTTTTTTTTTTTTTTTTTTTTTTTTTTTTTTTTTTTTTTTTTTTTTTTTTTGGGTAACAAATGCAGCACTTAAGGACTTGTATTGAAGCTGATTAGCATAACTCCTTTTGTAGCACCTGACCCAGCCTGAGGAAGGCTTGCATCTCCGTTCCCAGACCTAAGAAAATTAAACTTCTACAAAACATAGCTCCATTAGAAGTTTTTATATTTTCCATATTGTGGTGGAGTTAAGGACCATTCCAGGAAAGACTTCTAACATAGAAGGGCTACATGTCTTAAGTCAGTCATTCATTTTGCTTTTCTAGTGTTTGTACTGCATATATTGAAAGATGCCTCTGTGCTTTGGGAGTGAAACTGTTTCTGCTTAATCTAAGGGGAGACCTATGCAGGTTGCATTAATCCAGAAATAGCAGCTTTGGTCCATGTACAGAAAACCTGAAGCTGTACATCAATAAGGAGTTTCACCTGACATTCCAGAATTAGATTTCTAATACTTTTATCTAGCCTTCACATTGGAATGTTAATGCTGTGGTTTCCTGTCTTGCTTACCTTGAGCAGCTACAGTTTTGCTTCTGCTGCTTTGCTTTTTTGTTTTTGTATCGGAGTACAACTGGGTTCCCCACTCCCACCCCTTCCATTAAGTTTCCATTCTCTGGCTATGTAAGAAACAACTATTTACATTTTGAATCTTCAGCAGTTGGTTTCTTTATTATGCTATGCATGACCTTTGATTTTTCTCATTATTGATTTTTGGTTGGATTATAGGAGGACTGTTTAAAAAATGGTGTTTCAGCCTTTGAGACTTGCTTTGGATAAAAATACTCAACATTTCACAATTTTTTTTTCCTTTCAGCTTTGGTAACCTAGCTACAGAAGCTGTAATTATGGGTATCCGATGTAAATTATTTACCCTTCTTTTAAAATTCCATGTCTCACTTATTAATCCAGGAAAACTGAAGTCCGTTTTTATACCTGCCTAAACCTAAGTCAAAGTTGTGAATGGTGATGTGACTTAAATAACCCTCTTTATGTTTGAACAATGCTTCTCATTTATGGAATGTCTTAAGGGAATAAAGAAACGAATTTTGTGGCCTTGTATTACTGAACTGTAAGCATCTCCTTGTGATTGTGTTTACATTAAAGTTCTTGCAGCGGATCTGTACTTAAATTGTAGCAATTCTACAGTTGCAGACTTCAGAATTTAAAAATAGGACAAAAATGGTGCAGAACTAAAATGTTCTGGTATAATTCAGACACTTGGACTTAAAAACAGGCATCAGCTGACCCCACCTAAGAAGATGTATGCCAAGATCTTTTCATCACCACTGCGTTGCCGATCCTCGATGTATGCATGCTTGTCATTGTTCACTATCTAAACCCCATTGTACACAAGCTGTCCATAGAATTACAGTTAGACTTCTATGAACAAAAAAAGTAGGTCTTGTAATCCAATTTTTTTTAAAAACAGTGTAGAATATGTTGGTGGTTCATCCTGTTACACATGTAGAAACCCAGCCTTCAGTGAGTCTTACACAGACAACTAATAACAGTACAGTGTTTAAGTGGGCAACCTAGGATGAGCTGCATTGACTACTATTAGCTGAAGTGTGACTGTCATTTATTTTTAAAGATAGATATTTATTAGGGTAGAAGAATATTTTGTAGTTCTCTGCAAGTTCCAGTTCCTCTTGAAATATTTAGAACAGCATAAAGAAAAAACAGAGGGTGTCCCAGGACTCCATCAGTACCCAAGCAAATCTAAAACCAGGTATTGCAATTGATGTTGTAGAGCTGGAGAAAAGCTAACACTAAAGAAAGAAGATATTAGTAAGAAGCTACGTGTTTAAAATTCCATATCTGCCTGCGTTTGAAAGGGAAATCAGCAGGATCCAAACTCTGAGTCAGAGTTGTGTTGATTACCAATTTTTTGGCTTTATATGATCTTGAGCTATTGATTTAACCTTGCAGCTGCAGTTTCCCCATCTGTAAATGAAGGAGAATACTTAATTGCCCTTCTAATTTTGAGAGAGATGGATGAAAAGCACCTACGTGTTAAGCATTGTTCCTTGGCAGGGCACTGGGGCTACTGAACCAGAGTGCTATCAGTTTTCAATATTCCTTTATTGATACAATCTAGAAAATTTAACTTTTAAATGTTACCTCATATCCCTGCTTTCTTTGCTTGGGTGATTTGCCCCTTTCCAACTGCTGCTCCTGTCCCTAAATGGATTCTTCAGACAGAGCCTCTTGTCTGTAATTGATAAGATGTCATGATTCTTGGCAGAGTACAATTTTTCCATCTTGTCTCTATTGTACATACTATATAGACTTTTATACAGTCTCTCTATATGGGTTCCTGTTATTTAAAACAAATGCCAGCACAGTGAAATAAAACTAACCTCCAGAAGAATGTGACACACTGAAATATTTAAGACCTTCCAAAGCACACTAGTAGGGTTTTAAAATGTTTATTACAGATTAACAGGAAAAACTGTTTCTATGGGGACTGATTTAATTTGTAAAGGTCTGAACTAAGGACTCCTCACTGAAAATGGAGATGAAATAATCGAAAGAAAAGCATGCAATATCAAAGAAAAGAAAAATAAAGTAAGATGAATGTGCAGCCTACAACCCCGTTCGCCACAGAGTCTTTTGGAAATGTGCTTCCACTTGAAAAGATGTACTGTATAATTACTTGGTATGTGCACAGTTGTGATTGTGTATGCAAGTTGAATATGAAGGTAACCTGTCAGTGCTGACTTTAATTGGCCATATGTGGTACTGTGCATGCAAACAATGCCAACTATGCTCCCTCTAATTTTTTCCTTTTATGTGCAGAATAAATTATGTGCACCAAAGCATGTGTGGATGTGCACCATCAATAGAAACACATGGTGGTGGCTGCGAGCGCTCTAGTAATCAGCTGGGTGACATTTGAATCTATTCTGTGTGGCTACCCAAATGCCCTTACAGGGAACACTGTGTGCAAACCTAATTTGCAGTTGC